AATAGAACTACCATATGATCCAGCAAATCCACTACTGGGCACATACCCTGAGAAAACCATAATTCAAAAAGAGACATGTTCCCCAATGTTCATTGCAGCACTATTTACAATAGCCAGGACATGGAAGCAACCTCAGTGTCCGTTGGCTGATGAATGGATGAAGCAGATGTGGCACATACATACAATGGAATATTACTCAGCCATAAAAAGAAATGAAATTGAGTTATTTGTAGTGAGGTAGATGGACCTAGAGTCTGTCATACAGAGTGAAGTAAGTCAGAAAGAGAAAAACAACTACCATATGCTAACACATATATATGGAATCTAAAAAAAAAAATGTTTCTTATGAACCTAGGGGCAGGACAGGAATAAAGTTGCAGATATAGAGAATGGAGTTGAGGACATGGGTAGGGGGAAGGGTAAGCTGGGGCGACGTGAGAGAGTAGCATTGACATATATACGCTACCAAATGTAAAATAGCTAGTGGGAAGCAGCTGCATAGCACAGCGAGAGCAGCTCAGTGCTTTATGACCACCTAGAGGGGTCGGATAGGGAGGGTGGGAGGGAGGCTAGAGGGAGGGGATATGGTGATATATGTATACGTATAGCTGATTCACCTTGTTATACAGCAGAAACTCACACAACACTGTAAAGCAGTTATACTCCAATAAAGATGTTAAAAAAAAGTTCAAGAAGATTTCTCAGAAGGGAAAGATCTGAGTTTCCAGATATCCTGAAAGGAACACTGAGGGCCCATTATAATGGATGAAAATAGGCTCAAACCCAGGAACATTATTGTGAAATTTCACAACAGTGGGACAAAGGAAAGATCCTTCTTTGCTTTGACTCCTAGAGGATGTTCTCCACCAAAACAAAAGAGTAAACCAAGAAAGAGGAAGAGATAAGAAATCCAGTTCAGGTGAAAAACATAGGAAATTCCAAGGTTGATAGTGAAGGGAAGTCCCCAGATGACAGCTCTGCAACAGTGTGGAGAGCACTCAACCCATATAGGACAAGGATGGAGGAGTGGGGGGCTCTGTTCAAGAGAAAGACACTGGTAGGTGTCTAATAGTGGTTGACTGTCTATCAGAAGGTGTGTCTATTAGACAGTCAGTACAAAGTAAAACACACAAATGGGGGAAAAGGTAACAGTTAATTTCAGGAAAAATAAGAAAATAAACAACCATAGTCCACAATGCTCAACTGTGAATTGTATTTTCGTAGACAAGTTACATAATCACAGAAGTTGATTTAAGCAAAGTGTAGTATCCTCGGAGCATGGGGCACAGGAACAGAGGGGAATGGGGTGTAAGAGAGTTGGATGCTTATCTACCATAATAAATGATAGAATATGTCTAAAAGTCACAATTTAAAACAGTATGATCTAGGCATATTATTTGGAAGCACCAAGATGTATACTCCAGAAGAAGTGGCCAAATACTGAAAAGTGGTTGCCTCTGGAAAAGGGTACTGGAGGAGTGTGAGGAATGATGCAGGGAATCACTGTTTTGTTATAAATTTTTGTTATAAATTTTTCAGTACCATTTAACTTTCTAAATGATGAATGTATATACCTTTGATAAAATAAATTTTAAAAAATGTTATGCTTTTCTAGGGTTTTATTTTAATAATTTTTTAAAAGCATATGTTATGCTTTTTTCAAAATGAAAAAATAAAACAAACATAAAGGAAAAAAAAAAGAATCACTATATGACCCAGCAATCCCACTGCTGGGCATATACCCGGAGATAGCTATAATTCAAAAAGACACGTGCATCCCAGTGTTCATTGCAGCACTGTTTACAATAGCCAGGTTATGGAAGCAGCCTAAATGCCCATCGACAGACGAATGGATTAAGAAGATGTGGTACATGCATACAATGGAATATTACTCAGCCATAAAAAAGGGACGAAATTGGGTCATTTGCAGAGACATGGATGGACCTAGAGACTGTCATGCAGAGTGAAGTCAGAAAGAGAAAAATAAATATTGTATATTAACCCATATATGTGGAATCTAGAAAAATGGTACCGATGAACCGGTTTGCAAGGCAGAAATAGGGACACAGATGTAGAGGACAAAAGTATGGACACCAAGGGGGGAAAGCAGGGGGTATGGTGAATTGGGAGATTGGAAATGACATATATACACCAATATGTATAAAATAGATAACTAATAAGAACCTGCTGTATAAAAAAAGTAAATGCATACATAAAGTTTATCAGATATTGCCCATTTTCTCTACAAAACGTATGAACCAATTTATATTCCCACCAGTGTATGAGAGTACCTGTGTCCACACAGTCTCAGCAATAGAATGTGTTTTCACACAGTTTTTATTTTTACCAATGTGATGGGTGAAAAATGGTATCTCAGTGTTTTTAATTTGCATTTATTTTATTAGGAATGAGTTTGACCATTTTCTTAACTTTAGGACTGTACAAAACCAGGCCACAGGCCAAATTTAACCTGTAGTCCCCAGTTTGCTGACCCCTACTTGTAGTCCATTATTTTTCCTTTTCCTTTAGGTATTCCAATTTTGTGTGTTTTCTTTCTTTGCTTATCTTTCATTTCAACCACTTTCTCTCTGATCCTTTTTACTTCTTTATCTCATTTTTATTCTCTTTGCTGTTTTCAGCCTTTCTTAAATGTCCCTTACTGTGTTTTCCTGAAATCATTTAATTTTTATTTCTTCCTACTGTTTATCCTTTTCATTTTTTAACGTTAAATCTCTTTTCACATTCCCAAATGCTTATTTGAGGATATGCAATTGAGTTTGGGGTGCTGTATTACAGTTTTCCTTTGCTTTATCACCATTTTTTGGAGGTGAAGGCAGATTTTCCTATATGGGATGTTTTCATTCTGATTGTTGTGTTTTCATTTCAGAGTTACTTGGTGTAGATTTGTCTTTTTCTGTTTAGTCATTAGTGGATTTTTTTTTCTTATAAGAATTCCTAGTTTAAGAGTGCCCTCTTTTCAATGCAGAGAAACAAAGTATGATTTCTTTAATTTAGAGTGTCTTTTTGTTTGTTTGTTTAGTGATTGGGGAAGGTTTGTGAGTTCTGTGATTTTCTGGTAGGAGAAAGGTTCTCTTGTTTTCTGGGGTTTTACATTTTGCTCTTTGAAGTTTTCATTCATTTGGTCTTCAGTGGGTCTTCTCCCTTCCTTTTTTAACTGTCTTCACCAGACTTATGCCCATTGAATGCTGCCACCTTGACTTGCACACTCTCCTCGGTCTCTTCTCTGTAGTCACTGTTCAGTGTTACCAGAGCTCCTACAGTACAGGCATCCTCGCTTTGCCTGGTAGTGCCAGACTGTAATGATGGTCTTGCAGGCTGAAATGATGCACAATGATTTTAATCATCATTGGGAAAAATGACACTTGTTCTGTGACCTTTATAATTTTTTGCCAAAACATTAAAAACTATTACTGTTATAAACGTACACAGAATTTTTAAATGGTAAAACCAATGTTTATTTATTAGTACATCATAATTTAAAACATTAGCAATATTGAAAATTAAAGTGTTTCCTGTGTAAAAACATCAATAGTAGTTTGAACAGCACTGTTTGTCTTCTCATTATATAATTTATAATATGGAGCAGGCATCTTTTCTGTCTTGGTAAATGATCATACTCCTTTCTAAGTTTGTATCAGCTTCCAACATTCTGTCCTTTGCATTTTCATTGTTGTGAAATATCTGAGAGTTCCTTTTATGTGAAGTTTTTGCCAGTATCTCTTCTCTAGAACATCTCCATCTTTTTCATCAGAGCCACTTTCCTCATTTATGTAGATATTTCGCCTTCACTTGATTTTTCTGACTGCACATCTAGTCTCATTCAGCCAGCACTGTCATGATAGCTGTTTCTTTTATTACTCTGTTTGATCTCAGTTTCACTTTCAGTGTTACTGCTTTTCATTTCTTTACTGCACTTTCATCTTTGGTAGCCAGTCTCCTTTTTTTATTATGTTTTTAAAACATCATGTGGGTTTATCGCTAAAAGACAAAGAGACAGCACAGCCACATACATTGCTGTCTGTGTGAACTGAAAAACGTGTACAGTGACCAATTACTACATACTTTGAAAAAGGTGACGTGATTGGTCACTGATTGTGATACACATCTATTATGTATGTGATGGTTTGTGGACCGAGGAGCTAGCAGCAAGTTTGTACTTTATGCAGTTGCTAACTGTTAATATATTGTTATTACTGAAATTTGAACCATACTATGTTACTTAACTAAGCTGGGGTACCTGGAATTTGTGTATATTGGAACTGTGCAAAGCAAGGGTTGCCTGTATTTCACACTCAGGCTTTTCCTAGTGATTTAAGCTAGTGATTTTAGGTAATCTCAGACCTGCCATTAGCACCCCTCCTCTCTCTTCCTCACAAGTTTTCACAGATTGCCCTTGCTCTCTGCAAAAGTATGTCAGGAGTGTGGGTTTTGATGTTTCTTTTTCTATAGACAGGAAATTTGAAGCTTGAGCATGTCTTCTAGCTTTGACAAGGTTTCAGTTTTATGTAGTTGTATTGTTCTTATCCTGTTTTGATTTTGTGGGATATGTGGGGAGATTCAAATTTAGTCAGGCACCATTATCATTGGCTACCTAAGAGCCTCAAAATAGATTTGTTTTGTGTTTATAATGTTATAGGAGTATAAAATCCTTACATTTTCCTTAAATTCATATATTCTTGAAAGTGGGAGAGGAATAAAGGTTGGGGCTTCTTATTGGGTAGAAATTAAATATGTAGGTGTCATCTTTGAACAGTCTATTCTCAGAATATGCCTAGTGCATACATTTACTGATTTGGCTTGGTGAATAAGACAAGAGCAGGTACTTGAAAATGCCTAGATCTATTTCATTGTGGGAAAGAGTGCATATTTTGAAAAATATAAAGGAGAGCTAAAATTAGATCAAGAGACAAAAAATTAGCATAATGACAACTTATTTATTATTATTTCCCTATTAAACTGAACATATTTTTCTTTTTCAGTCCTATGACAATGGGTTGGCACAGGGAGCTGGACTTGAATCTCATGGTAAGGCATCTTAAAATAAATGGACATGTAGTTTCTTTTGTTCCTTCAAATAACATCATGGTATCTTCAACATGTAGGACCTCAGAAGTCTGTCTCAACTCTTGGTGCAGCCTGACTGTCTTCTTTCCTACTTCTCTCTGTTGACACTGCTGTGCCAACTCGAGCCTCTCCTAGGTCAGTAACCATTCAGAGATTATTCAGACCAGAATGTTCAAACAGTACTTTCTGGTGATCATTTCAGCTGTTAGTTGCATGAAAACATCTTGGGATGATTTAAAATATTGTTAGAAAACAGCACGTTTTCTTCTTTGGTGTAATACTAAAAAGCTAGATACAGAATCTTAAACATGAATCAATGAATTTGTGAAGAAAAAAATTTTTTTACCTTCCTTAATAATTGTCCTAAGTCATAGTGATAAAACATTTTGCCACATAGCATATGTTCACTACGTACATTAATACAGTCTCTCCTTTCACACTTTTCCTCAATTTTGGCAGAACCAGAGTGAGCAATAGTCACTTAGTTTGTCAAAACATCAATAGCCTGAACTCTTTCAAGTGGAATATATCATGTAGAAGTAAATGTACTTCCTTGCTCCTTTTTTTTTTTTTTTTTTTAAAGAGCCCAGATCAGGGAGGCTCTCTGAGTGAATTCCTTGTTTCCTCTTCATCACAGCAGTGTTTTTGCGCTTACCTGTGTGTCCATCCCTCTGCTAGCATGATAGAGTAGAAAGAACACATCAGTAGTCAGGTCTCAGCCCTAACACTAGCTATGTGGCTTAGGCCCCTTACTTAATCTCTCTGAGGATTTCCTCATCAACAGAGTAGAAATAATTATATCTTTCTTTAAAATTATTTTTAGAGATATGAGGGAAACTGGTTTGTAAACTGTAAACCATGTATAAACATTTTTTTAAAACACATTCCTTGTGCTTTCCCTAGGACCTGCCCTATCAGGTATCTCTTCCCTCTCTGACATTTTCACTCCCTCCTTCGGTGGTATTTGTAGAGTATACGTGTCACTAAGGGGCGTATCGAAAACTGTCTTGGATTTTCCTCTGAAGCCATACTATAATTAGGACATCATAATTCTTGTGTATGTCTATATGAGATTGGGGGTGGCAGTAGCAATTATGTCACTGGTCATCACCACTTGGTAAGGAGGGATATACTTGTAATTGCACAAAGAGGAAAACTGGCATCTATAAGAATTTCTGAGAAGACGAGGTCTGGGCTCACTATCGTAAAGGATGTTATTGGGCACTCAGGCGGAGGAGATACTTCGCAGTGCAGGAGACCTGTGGAACAAACACTGTTGTTCCCCAGAAAATGGGATTACGTTCTCTAGGATATGAAACAGAGAGGGCCGCTCAAACATGATACGCTCTGATGGAAAAAAAGTCTTGCTGAGTCACACAAGTAGTGATTTGGAGTCAGTATGACTCGAGTAGGATCACACCCAGCAAGATCATCATTGATGGGCTGTGGTTCATGCCCAAAAGCTTACATCTTCCTTTTACACTCTTTTTGTCTTGGTAGATTTAAGGTCTAAAGCCCGAGAGGAGGGCTTCCTACTCAGGGTGCCACAGTACAGGGCGTGCTGCAAATGGGCTATAGGCATGCCAAGCTATTGCTGCCTGAGCCTTTGGAGCAGCCAAGACCAAGGGTCTAGAGCTCCCGTTTAGGTGCCAGGAGCTCGCTCCTCAGGTCACCGCTGTGTGTCCTGCAAATGTCAGACGTTTTAATGTTCTTGTGTGCTATGAGGTTAGATAGGCTGAGAAGTACTACTCTAGAAGGGTTTGGTATAGCCTCCCTTCCCTATCTTATCACTGTCTACACTGGCAAGAGAAACCTCTTTCTAAAAAGTAGTCCTGCAGATTGGGCACTCTGAAGTCATGGTATTCTCCCTCTTTCTCCCTTTATTAATCTTTTTAGAGTAGTGGTCCAGGTATACTATTTGCCCTTCTACACAAATGGCTTGTTCTTTAATTTTTCTGTGTAAGATTCAGCAACTTAAATGAAATATTTCTTTTAAAGTCATAAATGGTCTACATTTCAAATCCAGTGTCTTTTTCTCATTCCTCATCTTCTATTTATTGAAGCAAATGAAGCTGTTAGCCTCTCCCCCTTCTTTCTTGAAGTATCAATTCCTCTTGTCCTTCTTCCTGACAGTTGTTTCTGGCTCCTTCACTATTTTTGTTTCTTCCTCTCACCTCTTTATCTTAGTCCAACTTTCTTCTTTTCTTTGGATCATTCATCTTTCTAAATATCAGGACTCTTATACTTGCTATTCCTTCTATATAGAATCCTCCACTCCCATCCCTAGCAAACACCTGGCTTCACTTCACATCCTTCAGGTATTGGCTCAAATGATATTTTTGGAAAAGCCCCCTTTTTAAAATTGCAAACCACCCACAAACACACCTCTTGTTTAGAATTGCAAACCAACCACAGATGCATACCCCATTCTCTGTCCCCCTTTCTGGCTTTATTTTTCTCCATATCATTTTTATTTTATTTATTTGTTTATTGTCTGTCTCCACATAATATATGCCTCATGAGATCAGAGGTTTTGGCCTATTTTATTCACTGTTTTATCTCCCACACTTGTAACATGTGGCACATAGTTAAATGAACTAACAGATGGTTCTCTGTCAATCATCCCTGGGGTGATGGCACCCACACTTCGTTTCCAAATCTATACTGTTGCTTCTGAGCTGCATACCGCCTTTCTGTGTGCCTGCCAGGCATAGCTAGCTACCTTTATATCTCTCAAGCTGCACATTTTTAAAAACCATCATTCTGCTCTTTCCTTCCTTCCAAGTCTGTTTTTGCTATTCAGGAATGTGGAACTATTCTGATCTACTGATTTTTCAGAGAGCCAGAAATCCAGAATTTGGGGTGTTTAATCTCCTGTTCTGTTTTTTGTTGTTGTTCTTCTTAACTTGCCAGTCACACCAGTCCTCCATTAGTCACCAGTTTATAACCTTTTATGGACGTAAAAGGAAAAGAATTTATTTATTAAGCAGCTGCTCTGTGCCAGCTAACAGTTATTCTCACTTAATCCTCACACTAGCCCTCCGAGAGTGGACATCTTTGTATTAGTTAGATTCAATCAGAAGCAAAATCACTATGAATATTAAAGACCAGGAATTTATTGTAGGAGTAAGATTTTACATGGTTGTGGAAGAAGATGGAGAAGTAAGGCCCTGAAAGGGGTAGTAGGTGGATCAGGAAAGAGTCACTGACAAGCTCTCCTGAGGCACTGGCACAGGTGGACAAGTGAGACCTTGCAGGGGAATCTGGAGAGCCAGGCACATCCAGCTGCCAGAATGTAACTGGAAGGCTGTTGTTCGTACATCCATTCGTGGGCCTGGTGTCACTAGAGCAAGAAGTAAAAAGAACTTGGATTCCAAGTATATGGGAGAATAAGGGCAAGCTAGACTCTCGCAGCACCTCTACCCTTGTCTCTTACCTTCTGTGCCCACAAGCAGGGCAATGGCTACTGCTTCCACCTTAGAGATCTCACACATATTTCTCTAGCTTCAGACCATATAAAGAAGGGGATTCTGGGAAACAGTTCTCGCTTAGCCACGTTAACACAGTATAAAACCACCACAGTGATTATTGTCGTTTTACTCAGAGAAGGTAAGTAACTTAACTCCTAGGCTCACATATCAGGTAAGTGTCTTGAAACCCTATGCTTGTTCAGCAGTACCATTCTGCCCATATTTAAATCTCTTAGTTTAGTTCTCCATGGTCCAGTGCCAGCCTAGCTTTGTAATGTGAGAGATCCCTTCCGTGTGCTCTAGGTTGCAGAGAAAATGTATTCTCCAAATGTTCTTACACGCCTTCTCACCCCTGGGCTTTACTAATGTTCTTTTTCCTATACTTGAAATGCTTCCCCTTTACTTATCTTCATTTCCCTTTCCTTAAACTTCAAACTTTACCCATCTTTCTATGCTTAGTTTCACTGTCACATTCTTTGTAAAATCTTTCATTGTTTCTTGTCCCCCCTAGCCCTAAGCAATTTCTCCCTTTTCTATATTCCCGTAATACTTGGTTCGTACCATTTACTTCTGTTTACCTTCTCTGCTAGGTTGTAAGCTGATAGTGTCTTATTTATGTCATACTCCATATACCCTTGAATATTGTAGTTGTTCAGTACATATTCGATGAGTTAGTTACGCTGTATTCCACTCTGCATCCCAAAGCTGGGAAGGCTGAATTTAGAATGTGTACTTCTGCTACAGTTTGATGTTAATCAAGTTTCTTCATGTGTTCTTTGTCCTAATTCTGCAGTCTAAATGCTACTTAATATACTGTTTTCTTTTTCTTTTTAACTCAACTGCTGTTCTCCAACACCTGCTTAGCCTGGAGTCCATTTGTCACGAAAACTAAATAGGCACATTGTACCCTTCTAGGCCATGATTATCAAATGTTATGATTCTGTTTATCCTAGTGATTCTTTTATGATAGTACAGTTTTAGGGGAAAATGTTCATGTGTTTTGGAAGAATTAGATTTTCCTACTTCGCTAGGATTGAAACTACTTTTCCTCTTGAGACTCATAATGTAAAAGTTCACATATATTCATTTGATTCCATGATTCTTTTAGAATATCTCTACTCCTTAATCCAGAAGAGAAGTATTAAACTTTACTTGGCCTGATTTCGTCTAAGCATTCAACTCCCTTGAATCTACCTCACTTTACCTTTTTCATGTGGTGTTTAAGAGTAAAATGGTGTACTTATTTGTGTACCTGTTTACTTAGCTTTCTACTTTAGCTGTATGTTTGTTGACCATCTTAAATTACACATTTCAGAGCACATAGATTCTTTCAAATTATTTGGTATATACAAATAGATACTAAGAGAATGCTTAAAAACGAGCTTTAAAACCTTATGGGAACAATAAGTTAAAACATAAGTAAAGCATAGCAAACAGAACCAGAGTCAGTAACATCTCCTTTAACCTGCAACTGGAAGAACTGGGGTAGGTTGTAAAAAGAGAGCCAGTGCCTCCCAGCTGTGATATTTTTATGACTGTGGTATTCTGTGTACATTAATTATCCACATAACTGAAGCATTCCACTTTAGGTGGCAAACTTTCAGCAATTTCAGGTGGAAATCTTTCTCTTATTTGAATGTGCCTTAATATTCTCGTACTCTTACATGCCTTCGATAAAGAAGGTTATTTTCATAACCTTCTTCAACCAGGGCATAAGGAACAGAATTTAATCTTTTCTTGATGAATTCAGATCATTATTATGAGAAGGAATTCTTAAATTGTACTTTAATATATATAGTGATGTAACATTCTCGAAGTTTTTTGAAGCTTGTAGGAATCATTGACCTAATCCTATTTAGCCCCAAAAGGATATTCTAGTTGAGTTCTTGTGCCTGCTTTTTCTTACTGTACTTATTGTCAGAATGTTACCTGTCTTTTCTTGCTGTTTTTATGTCTGCCTCTAACACTATTCTAACATCCTACTTTTAATCCAGGTTTTTAGAACTGGTGTTTTAAAATTGTTTAGACAGAACCTCTCAGGGGTAAATGTTGATAAGTGAATTTTAGCTTAAAGAATAGACTTTGTAATGACTGTGTTTGGCTACTCAGAGACCAGGCTTACTTCAGAAATTGTCATTTTCAAAATCTGGTCATTTGGGCAAAGTAAAGAGTATTTTTATTTTGAATTGTGCCAGTTTGCTTTAAAAAATCCGAACAATTATTTTGGAGAGTAACAATTAAATGTGTCTTTATTTCTTAGTAGATAGTTTTAAAGATTATATACTTTCTCTTAGAGGCTTTATATTTAATGATGTAATAATACCTGAAGTCATGGCCAGCTTCTCATGAAAGAGAAATTGAAAGTAGTAGGTCATTGAAGGGGAAATAAGATTGATAGTTGCTGAATAGAAATTATTCTAAAAGGTTATGATAAATTTGTTTTACTTTTGTTTTAATTCACTCATGACTAACATAGATCTCCCTTTTTTTTTCCATTGGGAAAAATTCTGAAGACTAAATAGTTCTTACAGTGTGACCCTTTTATTTATTTATTTATATTTTTTGACAGTGACCCTTTTAATGTGATAGCTGCCTTGCATTTTCTAGAGAGAATGCTCACTTTTCCTTTGCCAGAGAATACAGCCAAGATTTGTAACACCAAAAGGAAAGTTACAGGATGAGGCATATTAGAAACAATCTATTTAAAGAGATGGAATTAATAAAAATCACTAGGTCAAGTTGTAATAAGTTGGAAATATAAGTATTTTCAAATTGTTTGGAGTTGACAGCAGATAACGCCAATGGAAAGTGGTGGGGTTTTTTTTGTTGTTGTTTTTTCCTTTATGGAAAAATACTGACTTTTCATTTCTCGAGGAAAGTAATTACCTTTGTGACTATATTGGTTCTATTGATGTTATAATATTTTAATAAACTTAGGGGTATAAAACAACACAAATTTATTCTCTTACAGTTCCAGAGGCCAGAAGTCTGAACTGCATCTTACAGGGCTTCAAATCAAGATGTCAGCAGAGCAGGTTTTTTCTGGAGGCTCCAGGGGATAATCTGTTCCTTTGTCTCTTTCAGCTTCTGGTGGCTGCTGACATTCTTTGACATCTTGTCTCATCACTTTAGTCTCTGCTTCCATAGTCACGATGCCTCCTCTTTGATTGTAGTTTAATCTCCCTCTGCCCCCCTTTTATAGGGACACTTGTGGTTACACTTAGGGTACACCCCATCCAGGATGATCTCCCCGTTTCAAGATCCTTAACTTCCGTCACATTTGCAGAGTCCTTTTTGCCATATAAGGTAGCATACCCATGTTCAGGGGTTAGGACCTGGATATCACTGGGGGGCATTAGTCAGTCTACCATACTGAGCATGGACCTGTATTGTGCATCTACTTCCAGATAACAGTTTTCTTCTCCACAGTACCCCCATCCCTAACACACACACACACACACACACACACACACACACACACACACACACACTCTCTCTCCCT